CACAAGTGCCTGGGTTGTGGTTCTGAGACTTCTCGGGTGCCAAGGTTGTGCGTTAGGGACCTCTGGCTCGCCACCGTGCTTGGGTTGTGTGCTAGAGACATACCGGATGCCTGTTTTGTGCGTCAGGGACTTAATGACATAACACATGACAACAACAAATATCCAAAAACACATGGAAACACAAGTGCCTGGGTTGTGGTTATGAGAATTATCGGATGCCTGGGTTGTGCGTCGCGGACCTCAGGGTTGCCGCCGTGCTTGGGTTGTGTGTCAGAGACATCTCGGATGCCCGGGTTGTGCGTCAGGGACCCAATGACATAACGCTGACGACAAAATAGCGCCCAAAAAATATGAAAACACAAGTGCTTGGGATGTGGTTATGACACTTCTCGGACGCCTGGGTTGTGCGTTCGGGACCTCAGGCTCGCCACCGTGCCTGGGTGGCGTGTTAGGGACATCTCTGATGCCTGGGTTGTGCGTCAGGGAACTACATCTCGCGACGAGGACTGGGGCATCCTGGGGGTGGCGTGAGTGGCGGATCCTCGTGTGGTCCCAAGCGCCACCCCCCAGGAGCCCCAATGGCCTAAAGGCATAACAAACAACAACAAAACAAAAAAAAACAACACAAAATATGCATGCACAAGTGCCTGGGTTGTGGTTATGAGACGTATCGGATGCCTGGGCTGTGGGTCATACACACTTCGGATGCCTGGGCTGTGGGTCATACACACTTCGGATGCCTGTGTTGTGGGTCAGACACACTTCGGACGCATGTCGTCTGAGGCTCGCCGCCTTGCCTGGGTTGTGTGTCATGGACACTTCGGATGCCTGTGTTGCGGGTCAGAGACCTGAGGCTTGGGTTGTGGGTCAGCGCCCTCAGGCAAGCCACCGGCCCCGGGGCCGACCCCTCGAGCACGTCGTCGTTGTGCCCGCGCAACGACGACTCGAACTTCCTCGTTGCGACACTGCCAGAGCACTGACCGCCGCCATGAACACCAGAACCGTCATCACCATCGCCATCATCATAAGCATTGCCATCATCATTCTCGCCGTCGCGGCTCAAGGGCCCGGCGGCCCCCGAGGAGGCGAGCAGCAGAGCGCCAGCCTCGGGCCGGGCGAAAGGGTGGGATTGGGAAAGGGGGGGTTACGAAATTTGCTGCATGCAGCTGGTTTCGGCCTCACCGAGGGGCCCATTCCTCGATACATAGCCGCCTCCGGCGCCGGGAGGCGCCGGGAAAATCAGCTACGTGAGCTGATTCTCAAACCCCCCCTTTGCTATCCCCCCCTTTCGCCCGACCCGGGCTCCGCCGCCACGCCGCGTCGCCCCGCAGGCGCGAGCGCCGGCCTCCTCCAGCGGAATGGGTGATCCGTGGCTCGTTTCCGACGAGGAGCTGGACGCTGGATGCAGACGGCCCTGCAGCAGCTGCAGGTCAAACACAGCGGGTGCGCTGCCAATATCACGGTCCACAGCATGGAGTCCTCAAACCCGTGTGCGTTTCAGGCGAGGGCCGCGAAAGATTTCGCAGTCGGCGAGGTGGTGTTGATTCCGCACGGACCTGTGCACGACTTCTCGGAGGGGGCCAAGATGAAGAGGCCAAAATCGCATCATCCGCAGCACCCCTACTTGGTAACGACAGAAATCGGAGCCTACGACATCTGCGACGACCTATCGAAATACATCATCCAGAGCCCCCTCGCCCAGTTCAAGCCAGGCAAGGCCCTAGGGGTGTCGCCCTTCTGGGCGGTCTTGGAGGCGACGGCGGCCGACACCACGGTGGGGAACTTGGAGGCGAGGTGCCTGACGCAAGAGATCTCCTGCGAGTTCAAGCAGGATGGGCGCAAGCAGCGTGGGAAAGATAAAACCCCAACGGTGACGATCCTGGTGCCCGCGTTCGCGAACGTGAAGGCGGTGATGCGCGGGGCAGTCTTCGTCGCCAAGCCTGCTGCCATCCAGAACATGTGAAGTGCGTGGAGAGACATTCGCTACATAGACATATGTCTCACACTTTGATTGTGCGCGATTTGCTACATACGTACCGTGCCAGGTGCGCGACCCGTGCGCCGACCGCTCTGTGTCGTCAGCCGCACACTGGGCACTCAGCTGTCCGGCAGGGCAGACGGCCGAACAAAAAAAAGAAAAGAATTCCAAAACAGAAGAAGTGCCAACGCCAACAGAACCAAAAAAAAATGTAAACATAATTGCCTGGGTTGTGGATCAGGGACCAGGAGGGGCCACGAGGGGCCAGGCCCCTGAGACCAGGAGGGACCAGGAGGGACCAGGACGGACCAGGACGGACCAGGAGGGACCAGGAGAGACCAGGATGGACCAGGAGGGGCCAGGAGGAACTAGGAGGGACCAGGAGGGGCGAGGAGGGACCGGGAGGGACCTGGAGGGACCAGGAGGGACCAGGACCCCTGAGCCCAGGAGGGACCAGGAGGGACCAGGCGGGACCAGGAGGGACCAGGAGGGACCAGGAGAGACCAGGAGGGACCAGGAGGGACCAGGAGGGACTAGGAGGGACCAGGAGGGACCAGGAGAGACCAGGAGGGACCAGGACCCCTGAGCCCAGGAGGGACCAGGAGGGAACAAGAGAGACCAGGAGGAACCAGGAGGGACCAGGAGGCACCAGGACCCCTGAGCCCAGGAGGGATCAGACCGCAAACCGGCTTGGGTTGTGGGTCGGAGGCATTTCGGATGCTTGGGCGGCGAGTTCGGGATCTCAGGCTCGCCACCATGCCTCGGTTGTGGGTCAGAGACATCTCGGATGCCTGGGTTGCACGTCAGGGACCTCAGGGTCGACACCGTGCCTGGGTTGTGGGTCAGAGACATATCGGATGCCTGGGTTGATCGCCAGGGACTTAATGACATAACACATGACAACAACGAAGAACAAAACATATATAAACACAAGTGCCTGGGTTGTGGTTCTGGGATATCTCGGATGCCAGGGTTGTGCGTTAGGGACCTCTGGCTCGCCACCGTGCTTGGGTTGTGTGTTGCCGACATACCGGATGCCTTTGTTGTGCCTCAGGGACTTAATGACATTACACATGAAAACAACAAATATCACAAAAGACATGGAAACACAAGTGCCTGGGTTGTGGTTCTGAGAATTCTCGGATGCCTGGGTTGTGCGTCGCAGACCTCAGGCTTGCCGCCGTGCCTGGGTTGTGTGTCAGAGACATCTCGGGCGCCCAGGTTGTGCGTCAGGGACCTAATGACATAACAACGACGACAAAATAGCGCCCCAAAAATATGAAAACACAAGTGCTTTGGTTGTGGTTATGACACTTCTCGGACGCCGGGGTTGTGCGTTAGGGACCTCAGGCTCGCCACCGTGCCTGGGTGGCGTGTGAGGGGCCCCCTTGATGCCTGGGTTGTGCGTCAGGGAACTGCAGCTCGCGACGAGGACTGGGGCATCCTGGGGGTGGCGTGAGTGGTGGATCCTCGTGTGGCCCCAAGCGCCACACCCCAGGAGCCCCAATGGCCTAAAGGCATAACAAACAACAACAACAAAAAGAGCAACACAAAATATGAAAACACAAGTGCCTGGGTTGTGGTTATGAGACGTATCGGATGCCTGGGCTGTGGGTCATACACACTTCGGATGCCTGGGTTGCGCGTCACGGACCTCAGGCTTGCCGCCGTGCCTGGGTTGTGTGTCAGAAACATTTCGGATGCCCAGGTTGTGTGTCAGGGACCTACTGACATAACAATGACGACAAAGTAGCGCCCAAAAAAATATGAAAACACAAGTGCTTGGGTTGTGGTTATGACATTTCTCGGCCGCCTGGGTTGTGCGTTGGGGACCTCAGGTTCGCCAGCGCCCCTGGGTGGCGTGTTAGGGACATTTATGATGCCTGGGTTGTGCGTCACAGACCTCAGGCTTGCCGTAAGTGCCTGGGCTGTGTGTCAGAGACATCTCGGATGCCCGGGTTGTGCGTCAGGGACCTAATGACATAACAATGACGACAAAACAGCGCCCCAAAAATATGCAAACACAAGTGTTTGAGTTGTGGTTATGACACTTCTCGGACGCCTGGTTTGTGCGTAAGTGGCCGATCCTCGCGTGGTCCCAAGCGCCACCCCCAAGGAACCCCAAAAGCGGCGCCGAGGGTGGCGTAAGTGGCGGATCCTCGTGTGGTCCCGAGCGCCACCCCGTCGGCGCCGCGACGAGGACTGGGGCATCCTGGGGGTGGCGTAAGTGGCGGATCCTCGTGTGGTCCCAAGCGCCACCCCCCAGGAGCCCCAATGGCGGAATGACATAACAAGCAACAACAAAAAAAGAGCAACACAAAATATGGAAACACAAGTGCCTGAGTTGTGGTTATGAGACGTTTCGGATGCCTGGGCTGTGGGTCATACACACTTCGGATGCCTGGGTTGTGGGTCAGACACACAGCGGATGCATGTGGCCTGAGGGTCGCCACATTGCCTGGGTTGTGGGTCACACACATTTCGGATGCCTGGGTTGTGGGTCATACACACGTCGGATGCCTGGGTTGTGGGGCCTGCGTCAACGCCAGTACATTTGTAGCCTTTTTTCGGCTTAGCTGCCAAGCGGCTCGCCCCGCGGCGCCTCCAGCGGCGGCTCGCCCCGCGGCGCCTCCAGCGGCGGCTGCCCCGCGGCGCCTCCGGCGGCGGCCGCCGAGCGGATGCCCCGCGGCGCCTCCGGCGGCGGCCGCCGAGGGGCTGCCCCGCGGCGCCTCCGCCTCCCGCGCCGACAGAGGCGCTTCGCAGCGCCGCGCTGGCATGGCTTACTTGGCCGCGCTGGCGGCGCAGGCGCCGTCGTCGTCGTCGTCGTCCTCGTCCTCGGCCTCGTCGTTTCCGTCGTCGTCGTCGTCGGCGACGTCGTCGTCTCCTTTGGAGTCGCCGACGACGGCGACGACGACGACGACGACGACGACGACGACGAGGACGGAGACGACGAAGACGTGCTCGACGCAAGGTTGCCCGAAAGTTTAAGGTTCAACGATTGGCCGTTGTCACGAGGGTGATTGCAGTTTGAAGGGTTCGCCGTTGTGGCAAGCGCCAAACGTTGAACCTTTAACGATCAGGCCGCCCTGTTTCGCGGCAGTCTGGAGCAGGCTGCGCCCGAGCCTCGGGCTCGGCGACGAGCTGGGCGGCAAGGGCGGTCGTCCGCGTTGCCGATCAGCACGAGGCTGGAGATGGGCGCGCGCATTGGCGCTTGGGTCGAGGAGCAAGCAGGAGCTGGCATCCACTACACTCGCATGCCGTGGGGTGCCCTCGCCACCAACATGTTCAACCTGACGCCCTCCAATGCCGTGGCGTGCCGGCTGAAGCGGGTCTACGCGGAGTGGGCCGGCAAGAGCAAGGCTGGGCGCCTGACCCCAGCAGGGGCGGGCGCGGAGGACCGGCAGCAGAGGAGGCGGCGGTCGGACGACCCGCAGGAACGCAGCCAGCTCCAGCGCATGTCCTCGTTGATTGGGTTCGGCGTGTTGTGCACGCCGAACCCAATCAACGACGCGGACACGCGTGTTGTGCACGAGGTTTGGACGGTTTCTCGGAAGGGCTTCGGCGACCCCGTCCTCCTCCTCCTCCTCCTCCTGGACTTTTCGCCGCTTCTTCGTGGAGTTTTTCGTAGACCTCCTATCCTCGAAGGTTTTTCTTCGAGTTTGGCCTCAGGGGCCCGTTGTCGGGCCCGAGCTTTAAAACCAACCCTGGGGAGCCTCCTAAGTCGCCTACGGCCCCGGGGGAAACCGTCCACCACGAGGGAGTTCGAGTGGATTCTCTTCGGCCAGGCCTGGGCGACGGAGGGCGGCCGGGGAGGAGCGGCGGACGCCGCCGCCGCCCTGCACCGGCTCATCAACCAGTGCGCCCCTGGCGGCGCGGACCTGTTCCGCAGACGGTGGCAGCCTCCCGCCCTGCTGGAGACGTGCGGCACGGTGGCTCCGAAAGCGCTCGTGTACGCGATCATTTTGCTTAGCACGTGGCTTGGGCCAGAGGCGTACCCAGAGGGCGTGCGCGAGTGGCCGCCTGCCATCCCTGCCGCAGTCACTGCGGGGTAGTGCTAGTGCTTGCAGCTCGCCGCCCGAATGTCCGCACATTGGGCACTGAGCTGTCCGGCAGGGTAGGCGGCCGAAAAAAGAAGAAACAACAAAACAGAATAATGACACCACAACGAAACAACAAACACAACGAAAGAGAAGAGAAACATATGAAAACAGCCGTGCCTGGGTTGTGGGTCACAGACACTGCGGATGCGTCGGTTGTGGGTCAGAGACTTCAGGCTTCGGTTTTGTGCCAGAGCCCTCAGGCTAGCCAACGGCTCTGGGGCCGACCTCCCGAGCACGTCGTCGATGTGCCGCCGCGCATTGGGTACGGAGCTGTCCGGCAGCACCAAAAGAACAAGACAATGTCAAAACTGAAGTGCCCTGGTTGTGGTCCTGACACTTGTCGGATGCCTGGGTTGTGGGTCGCACACACTTCGGATGCCTGGGTTGTGGGTCAGACACACTTCGGACGCATGTCGTCTGAGGATCGCCACCTTGCCTGGGTTGTGTCTCCTAGACACTTCGGATGCCTGTGTTGTGGGTCAGAGACCTGGGACTTGGGTTGTGGGTCAGCGCCCTCAGGCCAAGCGCCACCCCCAAGGAGCCCCAGAAGGGTCGACACCGTGCCTGGGTTGTGGGTCAGAGACATATCGGATGCCTGGGTTGTTCGTCAGGGACTTAATGACATAACACATGACAGCAAAAAAGAACAAAACATATATATAAACACACGTGCCAAGGTTGTGGTTTGGAGGTCTCGAGGGTGCCAGGGTTGTGCGTTAGGGACCTCTGGCTCGCCACCTTGCTTGGGTTGTGCGTTAGAGACATACCGGATGCCTGTGTTGTGCGTCAGGGACTTCACGACATAACAAATGACAACAACAAATATCCAAAAAGACATGGAAACATAAGTGCTTGGGTTGTGGTTATGAGCATTATCGGATGCTTGGGTTGTGCGTCACAGACCTCAGGCTGGCCGCCGTGCTTGGGTTGTGTGTCAGAGACATCTCGGGTGCCCGGGTTGTGCGTCAGGGACCTGATGACATAACAACGAGGACAAAATAGCGCCCAAGAAATATGAAAACACAAGTGCTTGGGCTGTGGTTATGACACTTCTCTGACGCCAGGGTTGTGCGTTAGGGACCTCGGGCTCGCCACCGTGCCTGGGTGGCGTGTGAGGGACACCCTTGATGCCTGGGTTGTGCGTCAGGGAACAACATCTCGCGACGAGGACTGGGGCATCCTGGGGGTGGCGTAAGTGGCGGATCCTCGTGTGGTCCCAAGCGCCACCCCCCAGGAGCCCCAATGGCCGAATGACATAACAAGCAACACCAAAACAAAAAAAAAAACAACACAAAATATGCATGCACAAGTGCCTGGGTTGTGGTTATGAGACGTATCGGATGCCTGGGCTGTGGGTCATACACACTTCGGATGCCTGGGCTGTGGGTCATACACACTTCGGATGCCTGTGTTGTGGGTCAGACACACTTCGGACGCATGTCGTCTGAGGCTCGCCGCCTTGCCTGGGTTGTGTGTCATGGACACTTCGGATGCCTGTGTTGCGGGTCAGAGACCTGAGGCTTGGGTTGTGGGTCAGCGCCCTCAGGCAAGCCACCGGCCCCGGGGCCGACCCCTCGAGCACGTCGTCGTTGTGCCCGCGCAACGACGACTCGAACTTCCTCGTTGCGACACTGCCAGAGCACTGACCGCCGCCATGAACACCAGAACCGTCATCACCATCGCCATCATCATAAGCATTGCCATCATCATTCTCGCCGTCGCGGCTCAAGGGCCCGGCGGCCCCCGAGGAGGCGAGCAGCAGAGCGCCAGCCTCGGGCCGGGCGAAAGGGTGGGATTGGGAAAGGGGGGGTTACGAAATTTGCTGCATGCAGCTGGTTTCGGCCTCACCGAGGGGCCCATTCCTCGATGCATAGCCGCCTCCGGCGCCGGGAGGCGCCGGGAAAATCAGCTACGTGAGCTGATTCTCAAACCCCCCCTTTGCTATCCCCCCCTTTCGCCCGACCCGGGCTCCGCCGCCACGCCGCGTCGCCCCGCAGGCGCGAGCACCGGCCTCCTCCAGCGGAATGGGTGATCCGTGGCTCGTTTCCGACGAGGAGCTGGGCGCGGAGGGGCCGGCACTGCTGGGCGGGGCCCAAGAAGCGGAGCAGGCGGCGCTGCAGGACTTGGAACGGCAGGCGCTGACGGATGCAGCCGATGACCACCCGGGCGAGGAGCAGCCGCCAGAGGCACCGGCGCCGGCGCTTGTCTCAGCGATGGCAGCGAGCGCCGGCGCTCCCTCTCGTCCCTGCCGCCAGCGCGGAGTCGCCAAGAAGCACTTGAAGAAGGCAGCGCCGAAGCCGCGCGGCCGGACGCTCAAGCGGTGGGGCTCAAGCGGTGGGGTTCCGGCGGGAGTGCAGGTGGTGAGTCGCTTGGCCGTGTGGGGCCCGAAGATAAAGGCCAAGATCAAGAGGCTCGGCGTGAGGGGCCTCGGCATTGGCGAGGATTGGGTGAAGAGCAGGAAGGCCGGGTACCGGGAGGCCATCGTGTTCTGGAACAGAGAGGACAAGAGCACGAGAGATCGCATTCCCGTCCCTGACGAGTGAGTTGCTGCGGGCGCCCCAGACCTGAAGTTACCGTGAGGAAAAATGCATGGGATCCCAGACACATCAAGAAGAAATGGCACTTCCATGAGTACATTACTTTCATGTTGGCGCGCGTTTGGCGCGTGGTCTGGGCGCATCTGGCGCCCTGGCTGTCATCCAGAACATGTGAAGTGCGTGGAGAGAGAGATTCGCTACATAGACATGCGTCGCACACAAAGATGGTGCGCGATTTGCTTTATACGTACCGTGCCAGCTGCGCGAGCCGTGCGCCGACCGCTCTGTGTCATCAGCCGCACACTGGGTACTCAGCTGTCCGGCAGGGCAGAGAGCCGAAAAAAAACAAAACAAGTAGTACAAAACAGAAGAAGTGCCAACGCAAACATAACCCAAAACATATGATAACATAAGTGCCTGGGTTGTGGGTCAGGGGCCAGGAGGGGCCAGGAGGGACCAGGACCCCTGAGCCCAGGAGGGACCAGGAGGGACCAGGAGGGACCAGGAGGGACCAGAAGGAACCAGGAGAGACCAGGAGGGACCAGGAGGGACCAGGAGGGACTAGGAGGGACCAGGAGGGACCAGGAGGGACCAGGAGGGACCAGGAGGGACCAGGAAACACCAGGACCCCTGAGCCCAGGAGGGACCAGGAAACACCAGGACCCCTGAGGAGGAGGCGGAGGGGGAGGAGGACGAGGAGGCGGAGAAGGACGAGGAGATGGCGACAGGCGCGCGCTTCGTGCCAGCACTGGTCCGGCGGGGCGCCATCGCCGCTGCAGTTGCGGCCGCCGTTGTTCGACAGCAGGAGCAGGAGGAGGTTTTGCAGGCAAGTTTCTCCGTGTTTGGGTTTCTCTTGTCCCGCACCCGCGCTTCTCCCTCCTCCTCCTCCGCCTCCTTCCCCTCCTCCTCCTCTCCTCCTCCTCCCTCGTCGCCATTTTGGCTCGTTGCCATTTTGGCTCCAGGCTCAATTCTTCGTTGCAGCGTGGGCGAGGGCCCCGTGGGCGAGGGCCGCTTGGGCGAGAATCCTTGCGTTGGTAGCGGCGCTGGCGGCGACTGCCCCGATAGGCACGCGCGGCGGTCGCGGGGTCCAGGGCGACATCTTACGAAGCTCTTGGGCCTGTGGTGTTTGTTCGGGGCGCGGGGGCGGCAGGGCGCGTGGGCAGCGGGTCTGCGCGGAGCGGGCTGCCAGTCGAGCTCGACGCCACGCCGTCGAGTCGCGTCATTGCGGCCCCCGCTCATTTGGAAAAGAATCCTGCCCGCGCACGCGCTTTGCGTTTGAGTGGAGCGGCACGGGCGCGCTGCGCTGGCCCCCGTCATTTGGAGAAAAAACGGTCCCTGTCCGCGCGCGCGATTTGCGATTGAGTCAAGGGGTAAGGGCGCGCTGCGCTGGCCCCCGTCGTTTGAAAAGAATACGGTTCCTGTCCGCGCCAGCGCTTTGCGTTTGAGTCAAGGGGCAGCGGCTGTCAGGACTACGGGAGTTGTGAGAGTTCCGGGGGCTGCCATGGCGAGTTCCCGTATGGGCAATCCCCATTTGGAAACCCAACATAGGGAATCGCCATATGGGGAATACCCATACGGGAAATCGCCATGTACGGAATCCCAATGTTGGAAACCCCTTTCATATAGAGAGTCCCCATGCAAGGAATCCCCATACAAGGAACCCCATGTATGGGGGCCTTAATATACGGAGTTCTAATATAGGAAATCCTCAAATAAGCGATTCCCTACATGGGGATTCCTCACATGGAGGTTCTTGAAATGGTGATTCCTAACATGGTGATCCCCCAACATGAGGAGACCCCATATAGGGATTCCTTATATGGGGTTTTCCCACACGAAGATTCCGTATATGCGACGCACCGTACGGGGTATTCCCATACGAGGACCCCCCTTATGAGGGATCCCCATCTGGGAATTTCCCATATTAGGGTTCCTTACGCGGGGAATCCCCATAGGGGTTTCCCCATATGGGCATTCCCTATGTGGGGCTTCTCTACATTGGATTCCTTATATGGGGTTTCTCAAGCTTGGGAACCAGAGGTTTCCCAAGCTTGGGAACCAGAGGTTTCCAAGGGTGTCCCAGTCAAGCTTGCGGAAGCTTGGGTTCCCCAAGCTTGGGGAACCAGAGGTTTCCCAAGCTTGGCGCAGTCAAGCTGGTGGAAGCTTGGGTTTCCCAAGCTTGGGGAACCTAGTGCGTCCCAAGCTTGGCTCAGTCAAGCTTGGGGAAGCTTGGGTTTCCCAAGCTTGGGGAACCTTGGGTTTCCCAAGCTTGGCTCAGTCAAACTGGGGGAACCTTGGGTTTCCCAAGCTTGGGGGACCTGAGTTTCCCAAGCTTGGGGGGTCAGGGGTTTCCCAAGCTTGGCTCAGTGAAGCTGGGGGAAGCTTGGGTTTGCCACGCTTGGGGAACCTGTGGTGTACAAGCTTGGCTCAGTCAAGCTGGGGGGAGCTTGGGTTCCCAAGCTTGGGGAATCAGAGGTTTCCCAAGCTCGGCGCAGTCAAGCTTGGGAAAGCTTGC